TGGGTTCCTGGCCCGTCATTCTGGATGTTTGAGTGTTATCCCCTTGTGCTTGTGGGTTTTCTCCGATACAAAGGTAAAGATCTCCCCGTACAGTCTGAACAGTCGTGCAAGTGTGTTGGGGACAAGTGCTGTTAGCGAGCACCTATGAAGGCCGGCATGGCACACGAGGGGGTGGGTGGCCAGCACCACACCCGGCCGCCTTTGTCTCCCTCATGTTTATGCACCAGGTACTCATTTGAGGCTGAGTCGACTAAGGGGAGGCCCAGGACTCATTAAGATAATCTTCCCTTGTGTTGGCCATTGAGCATAAATCGAACTCAGGTTGCCGATTTCGCAGCAGGATGCGCTAAAAGTACACCACCACTCCCCATTATTTGACCCACATCCAAACACGACCCAAATGAGGTCCCTACTGGTGAAACCTTGAATAAAACTCTGCACTACTTCATTATAATCATCATCATCATTACTTGAAATGTGTATCCCTCCAGGGAGCTGATGTCTGTTCAAGTTTAAGATGAGAAACGTGCCATGAAAGATGAAAGCACATTTTCTCTAACATCAAAGCCAGGAGACATGTACTTTGATCTCTATTTATCAAGATTCTTCTGGAAGAAAAGTGAACATGTAATGGTGATGCCCATAATGCTCCGGATAACTTAAATTACTGTACATTTATTTGCAAAGCACAGCTTTATTTTGCCTTTGTGTAAATTAAATTATATTAATATATAAATACTGACTCTTGTCTCAGGAATGTGGACATTTTTGCCACTGACTCAGGACCCCCAAAGGAGATGAACACCACCAAATGCTGTTTTGAATATGGAGACACTTTGACCTTGAGCATGTAAATATAGCGAGCCACCAGCAATGTGAGGGAACGCTCAATCTACAATTGGAAGGTTTTGAGTTACAATTCTGGTTAAAAATTCAAGAGTATATCCAACAATGGGAGTGTGGAGTTGACACTCCTGGCTGAGGGCCACCCACAGATAGGGAACACCACATTCTCATTTTAGTAGGGAGACACTGACTTTTTGAGCACGGGTGCCACAGTGACGAGATGTTAAATGCCTCGCCTGATATACAGGAGGTCGTGGACTCGATCCCAACCCTAACGCCTGTGCGTTGGAAGTTTGCATGTTCTCCCCGTGATTGCGTGGATTTTCCTCCGGTTTTTCCCTCCACAGATGATGAGCGACTTCGTTGAGCTATCATTTGTGGCCAGGTCACTCATTAAAAATGTGTTTAGTTTTGTTTAGACCATGTAACTCAATACATTATATAAAAGTCTTTGGGTCTATCATTGTGCGTTGGTCTGTTTAGACTCATCAGAACGGTGTGAGGTTTTCAACATCACGCAATGTTCTGCCTCTCTTCTCTGATTTCCATCTGTTGGCCACACCTAAGATGGGGAGCGAGTAGGTAAGTCATCATGGCCTTTACTAGAAAATAGGGCAATCTAGTAAATAAAGGCTAGAGTGGGCATATTAGCTCTACATAGCTTGACGTCTTGTATTGGTCTATAATCGGTGCTAATATGTACATGCTCAGCATAAGTGTGATATTTCCCAATGATAACTTGAATTATGAAGACGTATTTCATTGGTAGATATGTAATATTGTACTTGAAAATTGTTTGCACCATCAAGACAATCATCACCATGAGCTGTGGTCAATCTAATTTTTAAATAATAAGTTGAAAACGTTTAAGTGTAAGTAATTTTAACTAATATATAAATCGTTTAGATGATGACATCTGAGTAAAGATTTTTTAAATACAGTGTGTTCTCCGTTCATGCACTATAACTCCGATAATAAACAGTAAGCTTCACCAAGAAAATATTAACATCCGACTTGTAAATGAGTGCCCGCATTTACAAGCATCTCACCAAACCCAACTTCTTATTTTAAGCCGGTGCGTGCGTGCGTTAGACTGGGGAGCGGCGGTGTAACGCTTAGCGCGCTGTGCCATGAACCCGGCGACCCGAGTTCGATTCCCGCTCAGGGCCAACACCAGTGATGATTATCTGAACCGGTCCTGGGCCTGCCCTCGGTCGACTCAGCCTCAAATGAGTACCTTGTGTGGTGTGTAAACATCGCCACTGGGGAGACAAAGGCGGTCGGGCGTGGTGGTGGCCACCCACCCCCTCGTGTGCCATGCCGGCCTTCATAGGTGCTCGCTAACAGCATTTGCCCCAACAGTCCGTTAAAGTTTTGATTTTAAGCTTTCGTGACTGCAGGTATTCATATTCTTGGTTCTTTCGGTAAAGTCATTATTTATATTATTTTATTGTTTCCCTTCTACGTGACTTTACCGAAAGAACCAAGAATATGAGTCCGTTCAAGGTTATACAGGGGATCGTTATCATCTTCTCTGTTAGACTGTGTACACTTTTGTGATTGCACTGTTCCTAAAGAAGCTCCCAGCACGTGGAGTGAAACGTCGGACATCGTGCTGAACAAGGCGCACTCAACCAGAAACACATCGGAGAACTGTGTGTTGGTATGCTCTGACAGGACAAGTAGTTTCATTTATAGAACGACTTCAGCAAACATGAATAAAACCAAAACTTCATGTGACCTTCTCAATTCAAGACAGTAATTGCGAGTGTGATCGGTATTCCACGTGCTGCAAGCTCATTGGACATAATCTATATTCAGTCGTTATGTTTCATGAACAAAGACATCTATTTAATAACTGCATCGTTAAAGTATCGTGTTTCCATGATTCGGCACGTTCAAAGCCCTCTCCAAACACTGCACCCTCTTGCTCTGAGTGCAGATTAAAGTGCAGCGAGCCTAATAAGGATTTATACAGAAATCTAAACTGACACGATTACCAAGGGAGTGAATTAAGGGCAGGTAACATGAAATAACCTGTAATCTTGTCAAAGGTCATTAGTATATGTGTGGGCATTAGGCTTAGTAAGAGATTATGTTTGCAAAACGTGTTCATTGTGTTTTCATTTGTAACGAACTTAATGCAGGAATGATCTTGGCAAACCTGAATTACAGTTCAGGCATGATCGCAAACTCCTCGGTTCATTGCCAACTATAAAAAAAAAACCCATTTGATTTTAGCTGTTAGCTATCAACGGTACTCAAAGTGTAAATGTTGTGGTTTCACGCTTCAACACACCGGTGGGCTAAAGCAGTAAACTATTTGTCTTTTCTCAACGTGACACTTTTTTACTGATTGGCCGTGTCGGGTGGTGGAGGGTTACGACACATTTATAAATAACGCGATCTAAACCCAAAAACGTTGATTATGAATATCAACGGTTTTTTGTTCACTTTAGTTTCCAAACATTTAACGCATTTTGCAGATGAAAAATAATGTTCACAAAAGCTTAACAATCCCATAGTTATCGGTTTCCCTGCTTGAGTTTGAAAAACTCTATGCAGGTAATAGTCGTTGTTTGTAAGCTCGCCACTGTCTGTCTCTGTCCGGTGCAATTCCATCCAAGCTGCATGAAAGACGGCGAACCTGAGTTCACTGAGCTTACCAACTGATTGATATACTCGCTTGATTTTTAACAGCCGAGTTTCATAATTGAACAACTGCAAGTCGATTTGCATGCGCGAGGGAAACTGGAGCACCAGGAAAAAAAAAGCCACGTGCGTGTTCACGTTTAACCAGAACAGACCCCCGATCCACACAAACATTCATCAGATACATTTTAGATTTGAAGCTTTCGTGACTGCAAGGATTCATATTCTTAGGTTTTCGGTAAAGTCGCGTAGGTAAAAAATTAAAATTAAAATTAATAAAAATAAAATAAAAATCACGACGTTTCGGAGGCAACACAAGATTCCATCTTCAGCTTCCGTCTTCAGGTGGAACCGGTTCCACCTGAAGACGGAAGCTTGTGTTGCCTCCGAAACGTCGTGATCTTTATTTATTTTACTTTTATTAATTTTAATTTTAATTATTTACCTACGTGACTTTACCGAAAACCTAAGAATATCATTGGACACAGTTTACTGGCAGCAGAATCTGAACGAATTGTCTGACTTGAGTTTTGAGTGTAACTATTACATATTAATACGCAATTAATAATTCTAACAACCGCTAGTCAGGAGCGTAAGAATGCGCCTTGTACAGCAATGTATTACACAATTAAGTAGGTTTCTTTTTTGACTGCCACGTATGCCGTAGTAGTATAATGCGAATCCTTGGTTGTGGTCAGTTAAAGGGTCTTTCTAAAGTTAATGATGATCCGTGTCGGGAATTTGAGTACAGTAAAACCTTGGATTGCGAGCATAATTCGTTCCGGAAACGTGTTTGTAATCCAAAGCACTCGTATATCAGTTGTGATCACGTGACGCTCTGCAGACAAAGCGTATATACGTACTATTCGTATTGCAAGACCTCGCTCGTTAATCAAATTCATATTTATTTCAAATTATTGCTCGTCTTGCAAAACACTCGCAGACCAAGTTACTCGCAATCCAAGGTTTTACTGTAATGCGTTTGCCCTTGCATCCCGTGCACGAGCAGTGCCTAATGCCGGCTGGGTAACTGTCCATGGTGCTGAGAGTACACACGCGAGCGGACTTAGCGGCATGAAGCCGCTTACACCGTTTCAGCCCTGTCAACCTTATAACAAACTTCACGAGTGCTCGCTTCTCCGGCTGTTTAAATCCTAGGCGAATTCATATGAATCTGTACAAAATGGTATGCTAATCGGTGTAATCAAATTCACAGGGTACTAATCGTATGGACTAAACACAGCGTAGGGCAGAGGCCTGTGTCCATTGAGCCAAACAGTGACAGTCTACTTGTTTTTTATTGTTGTGCATCGTCGATGGTAACTTAAACGCACCATCAACTGGCTCCATCTAGTGCGGTTGCCGAGTGAGCTCGCCGCTTGCTCGCCGTGTTTGCATTGGCGAGAATCGGCACCCCTCGGACGCGGACCGCCCGAGCCTCGTGTTGCGCAACTCGCATGGGACAGACCGAGGAGAAGCTCTGCTGCCGATCGCTCTCTCACCTTGTCATCCTCGGCCGCCGTGACCCTGACGACCCGTCTGCGCACGATGTTGTTCTTCACCCAGCCCTCCACGTTCGCGTTGAACTTCATGAAGACCACGTAGCTGATGTAGCAGCACAGCAGCGTGACGCTCTCCCACCACATGATCTGGTTGTCCAGGAAGAAGATGATGAGCATGATGAGGTCGATGATGTAGAAACTCACGTCCCGGAAGAGTGGCCACCACGTGAGGCGGAGGATCTCCTTGGAGAAGACGGCGCACATGCCGATGACGAACAGGATGTTGAAGACGGCCGAGCCCACGATGGTGCCGATGCCCACGTTGCTGTGCGAGATGAAGACCCCGATGAGCGACGTGAAGAGCTCGGGCGCTGAACCACCCGCGGCCATGAACGTCGCCCCCGCCACGTCTTCGGAGATGCGCAACTTCTCCGTGATGACCGTGAGCGCCGGCACGAAGAACTCGTCGCACACGATGGCCAGCGAGATGAACATGTACATCATGCCCATGATGTGCAACGCCACGGCACCGTGGCGCCGCTCCTCCAGCGAGAAGAGGTCCTGCGGGTAGTCCCCCTGCGAGTCGTGGGCGACGCCCGACGCGTTGTCCGCCGCTCGCCTCTCGGCTCGCCCGCTCAGGTTCGCGCTCGCGTTGCCCGCGGGCATGATCCTCCACCGCCGGCCCCTCGTCCGTCTCGTTGTTGGCGACCCCCTCCTCTTGCAGAGCCCTCCTCGTTCTGAAGGATGCGGACGGCGTCCGGACGATGGCCGCGTCCGGCGCCTGCTCGTCGTCCCTCCTCGGCGTGCCGTCCGGCGAAGAGAGCAGCAGACAGGCGCAGGTGGTCACGGCGGCCAGGAAGAGGATGCGGTCACAGCGGAACCGTTTCTTTCTCTTGCGAGGGTGCATGGCGACGGAGCGGCTCTGCCAGGGGTCTCTGCCCGACGTCTCCGAGTCCTGCGGGTGCTGATGCGTCATCGTGCGGCGTCCCCCGCTAATGTTGGAGGAGGAGGAGCGAGGCTGCGCAGGTGATGGCTGTCGTCTGACTCTTGCTGCTGCTTCTGCTGATGTTGATGTTGCTGTTGTTCCTCCAGAGACGCCTTGGCCCGCGCAGCATCGTCAGCGGTAAGAGCGATCTCCGCCAGCAGTTCTGGGAAGATCAAAGCGATCTCACGTGAGTGTCCTTTACTCCTGCCACCCGTTACAGCGCCCACCGCGTGCCAAGAAGGAGACCCCCAGAGACCCAAGCTTACGCGTACGCTACACTCCGGCTACTAATCAAGAATGACCTTTAAATCTCTCTGCAAAAGTCTCACTGGAGGGTCCTACGTTGAAGACCTTTGGTTAATTCTACGTTGTGAGTGGTCGGCCGCTTTCGTGTGATAGGAAACCGGATTTGCGGGAGAAGCCCCACGCATTTGAGGGGATAACAGGCACTCAAAACTCCGCACACATTGTAGACCAATACTGTTTAGTTGTGGGACGGTTGGCAATTTGGGCTGTAATGCCGGCACGCGATGGTCTACTCTCGTGAAGTATGCTACAGGGTCTTTAACTTTGACTTTACAGCAGACGGCGAGGTTTAATAGTAAATCACCACGATTATGTACATCGCTGTATTGTACCCATGCTGCAGGTAGCAGGGTGCGGGGTTTGAGCCGTCACATCCGTTTGGATTGGCTTCCGAGCGATCTGCCAGATGTTTGTTTCCGTCTAAATAACCATAAAGCGACGATTGTGATGATCTCATCATTGTTGTCACCTTTATTTTGTCACCCAGGAAAGCCTCACAGGTTCTCATGAAACTTTTCCTGCCAAGTTTTTTTGCAGTCGGTGACTGATTGCCGTGAAACGTCGTAGTTTTTAGTTATTTTCTTTGAACCGATCTACATGACTTTACCGAAAAACCCAAAGAATATGAATTCCTGCTGTCACGAAAGCCTTAAGTCAAGATTTTTCGGGTACAGAGATTCTCTCGTATTGAAATCAATGCTGCAGAAACTAGCCCGTGCAGCTGATGGGTTGTGTAACTTGTATTTAGTTTTGCGGAGAGACTGATTATTTTTATTCTTCTCGGTTCCTTTGGTAAAGTCACGTAGAATGGAAATAATAAAATAATAACTGCTTATTTTGTTACCCCCGCTAGCGGTGCTGGTTGTAGAGTGCACATCGCGACGACACAGGGATACTTGTGATTATCTCGTGCGGACTATCTCGGGTTATCCTGAGAACGACAAACTGCCAATATCCTCTGCAGATGTGTGCATCGTGCATTATTTTCACGTGAAGTGACGGAGAGTAGTGTTTATACAAACGTGTGTGTGTGTGTGTGTTCATACGCCAGGAGGTTTTAAACATAGTATTTATAAAATGTGCTTTTTTTACAATGACATTATCCAGGGTGCTTACATTTTTTGTGTAACACTTCAGAGAATTTGCAACAGAACCACAAGAAATGTGACTCCGGGCTCTGGAGACCACCTGGAAATGATTCCGGGCACGCGTTGACAATGATGGGGAACACGTGGAGACACGAAGAAAGCACAGAGAAGCAGGGAGACAGCGGCAGCCGGCACCAACAATTGCCCAAGCTCTGCGGTCCTCTCTACATTGTTATTGGGCAATGAATTAGTGTTTACATGTGGGGGGAAACCGGAGGACGTGAAGAAAACACACTCATAGCAAGGCAGGATATGAAGGCACCTCGACACGCATGGGGAGATCACAATATTTGTGCGATCCGACAACTCTCGCTGCATTACCGGCGTGCATAGCCACCACCGCCCGGCCTCTCTATGTGTTGTGAAAAAGGGCCATTGCCCGAAACGTCGCTTATTATTATATCCTTCTTTGTCTTTAAGGCCACAGTATTGCCGACGAATATCTTGAGTTGTTTCGCTATTTGCACTCCCAACGCAGCAGAATAACCAAACAGTTCGTGTAATCTAAACGCAGCGGTCCTATTTGCTCGCTTGAGAGAAGGGGAACGCGAACTCAAGAGACGAGACCGCGCGCAGCGGACTGGGAAACACACCGCGTGTGTCGGGGACCTACGAGGTGACACTGCAACGCGTAGCTCAGGGTTCTCCATTGCAGGGCCAGCCGGGGTCACTGACGGCCCCAGGTGACCTTTAGTGCGGCCCCTGACGCGCGGCCCCCGACAATACGCGACCACGTGACAACACCGCCCATTGTCGTGCTGTCAAAGCCGACAATGGTTTCAAATGCGTGGCGGCCTTCACGCCGATGTCTTATCGGTCTAAAGTGGCGCCCCGAAGAAGATGAGTGCAGAACACTGATGTGTGTATCGCGTGTTCTTTCACGACCGATGTTTTCCATAATGGAGGGGTTTTCTTTGGGTCAGATCGCGTACAATGTGTCGTTAAACCCGCCGCCACCCGACACAGCCAATTAGTAAGGTTTGTCGCGTAAACAAAACGTGTCAATTCGTTACTAGTTCAGCACACCGGTGCGTTGGAGAGTAAACCAACAGCGTTTGCAATTAGAGTAGTACGACGTTTTCGCCGGTAATGAAAACCAACCTCATCAGGCGGCAGCCAGAGAGGGGTGACTGTGATGTCGTCATTTGTGAGCCAATCACGTGGGAAGACCAGGCGGGGGGATTAATGTACTCATATCAATTACAATGGATATCTAGTCTTGGTTGGCTTATTCACAGACAAACCTTACTAATTGGATGTGTCGGGTGGTGGCGGGCTTTAACGACACATTTATATTGACGCGATTAAGGGTTGTTCCGCGCCCTGCTCTTCCCATCTCCGACGATTCGCTCAGCATGCTGGCACCCTCTACGGCACGCGCAGCGAAACGTCGGACATCATGGTGATGAACAGCAGGCGGCAATAAGCCGAATACACATCAGATAAACTGTACGGCACAACAATAAAAAAAGAAACCCCTAAGCTGCAGTAGCTTAACGCCTGGCTCAATGTTAACGCCGACGCCGATTCGATCGAGCAAAAGTTGCTGCCACCGAAAGTGTTAACACAGCGACGATGATGCTGCTGCAACTAAAACCTCCAAAACAACGACTCGAATGCGTTTATCTGACTACTGTGGGGGGGGGGGGCGGGGGGGTTCACGCGACGAGACAGACGCTGTGATAAGTGACGATGAGAGGCGACGGTAACTTCACAACGGATAGCAGCGATTCGCAAAGATAAAGACAAAGATCCCCCGTATAGCCTTACAGACTATAGGGGCAAGTGCTGTTAGCGAGCACCTATGAAGGCCGGAACGGCACACGGAGGGGGTGGGTGGCCAGCACCACGCCCGACCGCCTTTGTCTCCCCAGTGGCGATGTTTACACATCGCACCGGGTACTAATTTGAGGCTGAGTCGACCTAGTGGAGGCCCAGGACCGGTTCAGATAATCGTCACAGGTGTTGGCCGTGAGCGGGATTTGAACCCGGATCGCCGGGTTCATAGCGCAGCGCGCTAACCGCTACACCACCGCTCCCCACTCGCGATTCGCACACGAAGCTGTGTAGCGCTGTGGATGGAGCGTTCGGACTCACGGTTTGAAGGGTTTTAAGTTCAAATCCCGGTGGTGAAGTATGCTCAATAATATAAAGATAGAACCAATACTTGCACAGCGTTGTGTCCGCCCAAACCACAGCAGCACACTCGCGGTTACGAGCGCGGCACACTCTCGATTGGCTTCAGCTTCACGGAGAAAATGTACTCGGTTCACTGATGATGACGATGAACATCGATGTTTTTTTATATCTAAAAGCGTTTAGCGCGAGACTAACTCAATCATGACTGTCGCCTGACCCGGTCCGATAAGTGAAATCAATCAACATCCACGGGCTGTCATGTTTTCAGATCCCTCAATCGAACAGCTCGTTACCCCCCCCCCCCACCGTATTTGTCTCCATGTAATTGTAAGCCCGACAGTATTGATGTCAAATGTAAGCTCTCTACCGCGTCTACAAAATAGCACATCATCAGTGCGACCGTGGCCAAGCATGCAAACTATGAAGCACATCGTGACCCACTATCACCTGCACTGTCGCGGCGAGCAGACCTCGCCACTGACTACTTCGCTCCTGGACATATCACCATCGCGCGCAGTAAGACGAACACTCTGATCGACGAGTCACTCAGCCACGGTGCATCTCTATCCGCGCAAGGAATACGAATAGTTCGCAGCACCTATCACCCAGCGCTCGTACACATTCGACGGTAACTTTCCCTTTATGAAGGCACATTTTATTACCAATTAATTTTCAATTTCAGCATCGCGTTCACGGTGCAGGCGATTATTACGCAACGCGATGCCGTGGCTTCTGTGGGCCCCGTGTCAGCCAAAATCAGCACCGCAGAAAACCACCCCCCTCCTCCCCCCCCCCCCCAAGAAAGAACGTCTGGACTACCCTACCGTGCCCCACACGTAGTTGTCAGGTATTTACCCGGCTTTACGCATCAGCGTCCCCGCAGCCGGAGTCTGCCCAGGTGTGTGCCGCTGCTGCTCCTGCTCCTGCTGCTGCTGGGTACAGGTGGAGTCCCCGGCGGTTGTCAGCTGTGACACTGCGCTGAGCTGCGAATCCCACGGGAGTCCGGGCAGACTGAATAGCGGCAAAAGCGAGGAGTGCTAAGAGCCGGGGCTGGTGGAGGTGGTGGGAGGGAGAGGGAGAGAGGGGATGAGGGAGGGGAGAGAGAGAGAGGATGGAGGGGGGGCAGACACGAAGGTGCAATGAGGGAGCTTACGAAAGGAGATTATACGAATGTGTAACCCGATGGATTGATTATAGAGAGAGCCGACCAATGCGGGTAAGCAGTGGAGACGGGATGGGTGTGGTCTGGTGTAGTCATCTGTAGTATTTGTATACGAGTATAAATAGAGCGCCCGCAAGCTGAGAGCTTTCGCAAGGCATGTGTGTGTGTTGAGTAGGTTGACTCGGCATTAAATGAGTACCTGGTGCGGTGTTTAAATATAAGTACTGGGCAGACAAATGCATCCGGGTGTGGTGCTGGCCAACCCACCACCCCCCGTCATGTGCAGTGCCAAACGTAATAGGTGCTCACTAACAGCATTTGCCCCGACAGTCCGTATGGCCATATGGGAGATCTTCATCGTTGTGGTCACGTGCTCTGGCGTGGGACCCTCTGAAATGGCATGCATTGCGTAACACTTTAATATGTTGATCACATTACGGACGCAAGCGTAGATGCGCGTGGGTATAGGGAGGTACGAGTCAGCTTTGTGGGTAAAGAACACGTCGTCTAGATGAATGTCTATCGCTATTACAAGATAAACTTGGAATGTATTGTGCACGCAGATAACAGGATACAAGCTTGGGCACAAGATGCATACAGTGTAGAGATTGTATATTTACACCAGGTATGCATTGTGATCGTGGCTGACTTGTCGTGCAGTTTTGAGAAGGGGGTAGAGTACTTAAAATGTAAGAGCAATCTAATGTCAGGTTCATTTTGAAACTCTTACCCGATGGATAGACCGGTTCCTGTCATAGGAACGTGGGCTTGTAATCCTTGCCGACAGCCACAAATGTTCATTAGTTTAAGTCTCTTCGACTTGATCTGGCCTAAACACCACTTTGTAAAAACCCACCATTCAATGTCATATATAGGTTCTCATCAGAGTAATGTGACATCTTCAGTATTGACTCAGAGGCACCTCTGCAGAGCAGGCCGCTTATTACCAGAAAGTTGTGAATTTTATTCCAAATTAGGTGTCGACTCAACCAATCATCCGTCCATCCATCCACGTGTGTTAAAATAACGACGATGTTGTGGGAAGTAAACAATGGTATTCCAATCGAGGCACATGCTCAGGGGTCCGGCATGTGGCTCTATAACAGAGGTCGCAACCGGATACCCGTACCCTATCCGATACCCGGCTACCCGTAACCGGCCGGGTACGGGTAGCCGTTTGCGACCCTGGTGCGGCCGGGTACGGGTACGGGTAGGCCGTGAGTCACTGGTGAGTCACCATTTGTCACTCATTTCCCAACGTCTTGTCTCTTCTCACAATTCAAGTTCCTAGAATCAACCCACCCGCGCCTGCAACATGGTTTCATCCCAGAGGTCGCAATCGGATACCCGTCCCCGTACCCTACACGATACCCGGCCGGGTACGGGTAGCCGGATATCGGGTAAGGTACGGGTACGGGTACCCGTTTGCGACCCTGGTGCGGCCGGGTACGGGTAAGAAATCAAAACCCGTTTGCGACCTCTGCTCTATAAGGACCGCTTCGTGACGACCCTCTCGCATTCACGGACATTGCGGCTCTTGAAATATCGAGGTTGTTTTTTTTACCGAATTAAAAAAAAATGGCTCTTCTCGTTATTTTGGTTGCCGACCAACTGCACGAGCCCTCGCCATAGAAATGTGGATTTTCCACTCGTGGCTCAGGACTGCCAATGAAGAGGAGCACCGCTCACGTGAGCATGGTCACATTCTCACTTTGAAAAGGGTTGTTATTGTCCAATGATCGTTTGACTTCTGGCTTTATTCACATCGTAACACCACAAGTGCATACCTGAACGTTATGAATATTTCTTTCGTGACACTCTAACGTGAAGAAAATTCACGGTGTGAACTCATACTCCTTGTGACTTTCTGACCCGCCTCTACTGGATATCTCTGAAAACGACAACTTACTGACTAACTATTCTAATCTTACCAGCTAAAGCGTTATATGGTTATTTTTCAGAAGAGACCTGGCCTCAAATGATAGTTGAACAAAGTGGCTTATCTATCATCTGGAAATGTATCGCAGCCAAATAATCTAAACGCATGCTTCTAGATGTGGTGGGAAAAACCGGAGAACCCGGAAAAAAAACCCACGCGACCACGGGGAGAACACGCAGACTCCAAATAGACAGCAGGCGCCAGGGTCGGGATCAAACCCACGACCTCCTGTATCCCAGGCGAGGAAGGTAACATGTCGCCACCGTGGCGCCCCTCCCCCCCCCCAAAAGGCTATTATAGCTCATCAGATTTCTCCAGTATAAATACAGATTCTGATTATGTAAAAGCACTGCAGAGGGGGTGGGTCGTATGTGGTGGGGGGGGGGCGGGGGTAACACCTTATTTCTTCGAGAGAGAGGAGAGAGTTTTCCTAACAGCCAGGTGCAACCGTCAGCAGTACCCCGGTGTTGACCACAGCCTCCTCACTCTGACGCTGCCCCCGTCTCTCAGCCTCCATCCCCGTGGAACAACTTTGTTGTCAACAATGGGATGTGATCTTCTTGGTTCTTTCGGTAAAGTCACGTAGAAGGGAAGTAATAAAATAATAAATAAAGTAAAGTCACGTAGAAGGGAAGTAATAAAATATAATATATTATTATATTATTTTATTATGTTTTATTTGTATTATTTTATTACTTCCCTTCTACGTGACTTTACCGAAAGAACCAAGAAGATGAATCCCTGCAGTCACGAAAGCTTTAAATCGAAATGGGATGTGACTCTCAATTTCAATATTATGAGGTGTGAATTGCAAGTGTTGCGTGACCCGAATTCAGCAGATGAGAGAGATGCCGCTATTTCCAAACGTCGTCGTCATAGCCATCGGTTGTCTGCCCAAGCAAAAAATAAGTGGAAGGAGGTCCTCAAATGTATTCACAGCTCCGAGCCAGTGATGGAAATTACACTTACTTATCGTCGATACGGGTCTATCCACAAGATGACAGTGTGTGCATTGAGTGCCACTGCGTTCACGACAATGTAATACCCACAAAGTCTTATTCATGTCGTCAACTCCAGAGGAGTTGTAGTGTTGTCAAGCCCCAACCAAGATTTCAACTCACAACCTTTTCCATTGCGAGACGCACACCCTGACCACCGCTCTGCCTGGCCAGGGTGTGGTTGTATTGCATTGCACATCTCTCGTCCAGTGGGGTATGGTTCAAACTACTGGGTTGACGCTTAGTGAGATGGTATCTTCCTCGACTGGTGGTCGCATGGGTTTTTCTCTGGGTCCTCCGGTTTTTGTCCTCCACGTTTAGATTATTTGGCTGCGACTATAAATGTCCACATCTGATGATAAGCCACTTAGATGAGTTATCACGTGTGGCCATAGCTAATAGCTCAGTGAGCTTTACGTGGCAATATAAAACAGTTTAGTTTACAGTCATCCATGTATAGATACCTCAACGATTTATAACTGGTGATTGAATATAGTATTGTGGACCACCACATCCCAAGACCGTTGTCAGTGGCGGCAGTCACGGGACATTGCAGAGTGGGAATGTGAAAACCAACAAGAGCAACAGCGAAAATAATTTACATGAAACCCACACCTGGATGAAGTCATCACAAAGTGCTCAACAATCAATCTGTAATTGATAGGTCCTGTAAACAATATATCAAGAGATTGATATGCCCTAAATGTTCCTCAGACTCAAAACACACTCCCACAGTTACATTTTTGCAATCTTTTTGGCATCACATGCAAAAGCTGAGAAACATGGCACCATCCCTAAACCCAGCCAGCCCCTTTTTAATATGGCCACACTCCTCAATAAAGATTGATGGTTGTGGAGTCGGACGGCACTCTTGTGACTCGATGATTCTACTACCTCGATTATTTCACCACCATTCCAAGGAAAGCAGAAGCACTTACAATATACCGAGACACTGCTTCCACAGTTACCTAGAAATTACAAGTGTGATATTCTCCCCCCGCCAAATGCAATGTTCAACACTTAACCTTCACATGGATAACTGGATCCCACAACAATAATTCTAGGTCACTTTTTACTCCTTAGCAATCACAAACTACCAACGAAACCACAAACAACCTCTCTTGGAGAAAACCTATTTCCAGACCAATCTCCAAAGATGCCGGATCTGAAATAGGCTAGCCTCTTTAACTGGAATTACCCCTGTATCATAAATGCTCACCTCAATTTCTATTTTTCTAAAGCACACAGACACACTGGGAAAACATCCTCAAGTCAACCAATGTTGCTACAGACACACGATTGACCTAGAAAACACGCATAATGTTAATGTCGTAAGAATCAGACCCTTTATAATGCTGCCATTCAATTCTTAAACCAGGCCCGCACAACCACAGTCACCACAACACCTCCAGCCTGGCTCCGAGACCACACATCTAATATTGGCATCACGAAACACCAACGCATTCTGCTCCAGATCTATCGCACCAAAGCCAGGCTCATGATTCTTCATGATTGGAAAGGACATAGGAAACGAAGTGTCCACACGTGATTCAGGCATGTGTATAACTTTACCTCTCTCTTGAACATCTACGCTCCACCATCAAAGATGAAATATTAACATTCAAAGGCACTTGGGACCCTTTCATCTCACACTCTTTTGAGCACCTCCCCCACCCACACTCTGACTCGTATACACAAGGCGAACATGAAAATGACTCCCACCCACACTTCTGACTACTAGAGCCACCTTGAATGCCTTCTCCCACATCACCCATCCATGCACTCAGTGAACACTGCAGCACCTCTGCCACACACAGAAGAGTAACCATTCCTCTAACACAGGGGTCGGCAACCAAAATAACAAGAAGAGCCATTTCTTGCCATTTCGGTACAAAATTCAGTATTTCAAGAGCCGCAATGCATCTGAGTACATACGTACTCATCGTCAAGAAGCAGCCCGTAAAGAGCCGCATGCGGCTCCGGAGCCGTAGGTTGCCGACCCCTGCTCTAACATCTCCTTCCCTCCACTCTGCCCCTCGCTCACCCTTCCACCCCATGCGTGAAATAAATCTACTCTTAGCCATTTTGCTCTTCTTGTTCAAATGTATGCGTGTTGAACTTATGTCGCACCAGACGTTGCCAATCGTGCTTATCGTAGGTGCGGGGGAACGACAACAAACGAAACACAAAAGCAGTTATAGATTTGAAGCTTTCGTGACTACTGCAAGGATTCATACTCTTAGGTTTTTTTTGGTAAAGTCACGTAGGTAAAAATATAGATAATAATAATAAATAAATAATAAATGAAAATAACTCAATTAAATCACGACGTTTCGGAGGCAACACAAGTCTCCGTCTTCAGGTGGGACCGTCACAGCCAAATTTACTGTATCTTGCAAGTCAAGCAGTTCTAAGGAAATTAGTTTTCTATCTAGATTTAAATTTGCAAAGTTCCAGTGGCCTCCTAATATCAACAGGAAGAGCGTTCCAGAGGGATAGAGAAGCGCATCAGAAAGCACGCGATTGGGTGACCGTATTTGTTCGATTGCTAACCAAACATCGCTGCGGGGATGACCGGTGTTTGCGTGATGGTTGATGCTCCTTCAAGAGATCAGCAAGGTATATGTGGTTCATTTGTGGCAAGCACTTTTTACTCAAGTTGTTTTTATTTTACCAGGAAATAAAACGAACTCAGCGTATTCAAGAGATATCTCTGCAACGAAGAAGAGCCATTGCCCGACACCTGCACCTGTTACATACATGTTTTCCTCATCAGAGCGATGTTAATGATGATCGTGTTGAGTTTGTGTTACTTGTGC